CAATAATTACATTACTTTAATCATACGGTTAATCATAAACCTTATCCATACCATTAACGCTACAAAACAAAAAAATTATATTAATCATACGGTTAAACATTAGCCTGATCCTAAACTTAATCCTAACTCAAGGGACTGATGGTAAAACCCCCTTAGAAATCTGAAGATGATGGATCAAGAATTATGAAAAATCTGATTCCCGTTCAACACAGAAAACAGCGTCCAATATAACCGTATTTTTCAGGTGCAGTAGAGTCGATCTATATATTTCATGTCCTATTTAAGAGCAGATGAAGTAGAGTTGACTTTAGCATCCCTAGAGTAATGTCAGAGATTACGCCATGGTCAACAAATATGTGCTCTAATCTGGATTTGAACCCTAAACCTCATAAGCCCACCTCCCCTTCCACCGTTCACAATATGGCAGACTGATATTCACAACTAATAAACACGTGGAGTCAGTGTACTGACATGTCAGTATATTGACATGTCAGTTTACTGACAGAAGGTTTATATGGTTTACCGTATACAACGTTTTTTGAAAATTTATTTTTATATGTTTCTTAAGTTATGAAATTCCTTAGCGTCGTCTTGCAGTTTTAAATGAACACAAACGATTTATTTTTCTACACCTGGAAACTGAATCAAGTAATGTACATACCATTTGGCGGCAAGTTGGGGGAAAAATTAATTCGTTGCTTTCTCTTTTTATACCCGGTGCATTAAAAAATGTAAGTTCAATTTTTTTTTGACCTCGTCGATTGAAATCTACCGGCATAAAAATTTATACATTAAGGTTACTCGACGTCTTATGGTGTTAATAAAGTCACCCCCCTGCTGTGTACGTCACTGGTTTACGCGCTCTAAAATAACAGATCAGATTCTGATTATCTCGTCGTTAATTGAGTTGGTATTGTTTAGTTAACTGGGTTAGTAATTGAGTTGGTATTGTTTGTTTAACTGGATTAGTAGTTGAGTTAGGGTATTGTTTAGTTAACTAGGTTAGTAATTGAGATAAGGTGTTGTTTAGTTAACGGGATTAGTAATTGAGTTAACGTTTTGTTTACTTAACTGGGTTAGTAGTTGAGTTAAGGTATTGTTACTAGGTAAGCATGACCTAAGCAGCCTTTATTATTTGCAGCAAACGGCTGTCTAGGTTAAGTTAGTATAAAAGGCTGACTGCCTGTCTCATGTATTTCACGAAGTGAGTAATTTACAACTATTTAGCTAGTGTTTTTGCCACGGATAAATACCAGTAACTATAGATATAAATTCTAGATGTAGCTAATAAGGTCGCCACCATTTTAAAACCATCCTAAAGCTCCACAACTAACGTATTACGAATTTTCTATTTCACAAAGCGAGACAAAGTCTTCATCCTAATGTAATGATGAAATAAATCAAGCGTAAAATTACCTTCGGACGAACCACATCTTGTAATGACATTTGGTTGTAGGCTACTCACGTTTAGAATACACTTCCGGTTTGAGTATCACTTCGTTGTTCACACTGGTAGACTCCATCTCACTATACACCACACTAACCCACAACACACCACACTAAAGCAAAGAGCAACAGCACACCACAATGACACACACTGTCCCACAACACACCACCATAATACACTCTGACATACAACACACCACGATGACACTATTGATAACCCACACTGATCTACACTTTAGGTGTTCTTTCACAATTTTCTTCCCAAGAAATACCGCCCCCCTACTCCGCTATCCACGTGATTCCCGTGTTACACATGAAAGCAATAGGTGTTTCTCCTTTCATCTCGTGGTATGCCGGTCATTAGTGACAATCAGGTTATCAGTTAAAACTAATTAGCCTTATTAGTTATAGAGTTGTTCGCGGCAGTGCGGATGAAATCTTACGGATCTAAGAAAACAAATATTTCAAGGGACGTAACCCGTTTCATCTTTTCGTGGCAAACAGCCAATCTTCTATAAAGGAATAATGTTGTAAGTTTTATATATATATATATATATATATATATATATATATATATATATATATATATATATATATATATATATATATATATATATATATATATATATATATATATATATATATATATATATATATATATATATATATATATATATATGAAGGCTATAATATCATGGATTTATCCAACGAAAGTAAAAGGTTAAAATCCCAATTACCCAAATCCGCACTCTGCTTTCAATTTAAAATTTGAAATTCTTGTATCAATTTTTTTTCCATTTCTTACACGAACGATTTTATATTTATGACCTCCACGATTTTTTAAGGAAAGGAGTAACGGTTCATTTATAATCAGTTCAATGCAGACGATACATTTTGGCGGGCGTGTTTAGGTCATCTCGACCCAAACAAATCTTATCTCCCATATCGAATTTAATTTTTTTACAGCACGAACTGTGTTTGTTATTAATTAGTTTGAGTGGCTGAAGTAGGTTTTAATGCCCGCTGGGGTTATAAATCAACCAGATTTTTCTGGTTTTTATTTCCCTGATGTAATTAGACTCGTCGAGCTAATCTTGTTTGATGGCATCCTGTGTACGGCTAGTCTTACAAGGTGTCAGGTGTACGTCCGACTTTATAAGACACATGTGTACGTTGTTTACAAGTTACATATGAACGTCTATCTTTATAGGACGGGAGGTGTGCGTCCATCTTTATAAGACACATGTGTACGTTATTCTTTACAAGATACACTTGAACGTCCATATTTATAAGATGGGAGGTGTATGTCATATGAGTCTTACGTTTGCTAATAGATGATGTATGGTTTCATTATGTAACCTATTTGCTTATGTTAAATGTAAGCTGTGGTCCCACTCACAACACAATTGATTTACGTTACAAATTTATGTACGGTGACATCACCTGACATCACCTAGCTACACCTGGATATTACCCTTCCCCTCAGTAAACCCACATGTGGATATGACCCTTCCTCTCCGTAAATCCACATGTGGATATGACCCTTCCTCTCCGTAAATCCACATGTGGATATGACCCTCTCAGTGAACCCACATGTGGATATGACCCCCCCTCAGTAAACCCACATGTGGATATGACCCCCCTCAGTAAACCCACATGTGGATATGACCCTTCCTCTCAATAAATCCACATGTGGATATGACCCTTCCTCTCCGTAAATCCACATGTGGATATGACCCTTCCTCTCCGTAAACCCACATGTGGATATGACCCTTCCTCTCACTAAACCCACATGTGGATACGACCCCGCCTATCAGTCAAACTCCCCCCCCCCCAGTCAGTGCACTAGAGTGAGACAAATGTTGAAAAAAAAATGTCTGCTCTGACATTTCGATTCTATATCAGACTTCCTGACAGATTTGCTTGTAATGATATCCTTCCGGGTATCTCTCAACAGATCAGGCAGCGACAACTCTGCGCTGCGTTGGGAAAGGTTAATGCAGGGTTCTCTGCCCTTGTTCATCTTTAAATCGACATTATCAAGTAGTGTTCCGGCACTTCGTCTCCATCAGCTCATTCATCAACTCCCCGCGGAGAACGCCTGTCAGTCAACGCACTAGACGTCACTGACCTACTCTGTCAAAGTTGGGTTTAATACAAAGCCGTGAGCGTGCTTGACCTATTTACTCAAACGTGTGTTTAACCCTACCCGGTTAGTGCTCTACTATCACAAAGTTGGGTTTAATCCGCCTGGGTTAGCGTCATTGGCCTACTTTACCAAACCCGTGATATGTGTAACGAAGTTAGCGTCCTTGACCTACATACTAAATCCTGTATTTAAAACAACCTGCTCATTGTACTTCACCTTGCCTCTGTATTAAACAAAAAAAAAACTTGCTTAAAACTCCACCAAAGCTTAGAGCAACCATACGACAACCCACAAGTTAACAACCCTTGCCGCTTTAGCTCCATACGACAACCATTTGATTTTAATGATGGGATTTTTTCTATGATAAAAATATCATTCAATTTTTTACGTTTGTTGCATTCGTTTTTATACACGACTTCCGGTTACTTGTGTTTCATCTTTAGACAAAATAATTTCTATTGCAGAAGACATCATATTTTCCACAACGAAAAAGTCTCCCTTTTGAAAGAAATGTATTACTATATCTACTAAAACATTTAGACTTTATCAAAATTTCCCAAAATCATTCAACCCAGTAAGATCGGTCATGCTGATTTTGTTATGGTGTCATGATTGTTACCGAAGAGAATCAAACAAACGATTGGGCAGAACTCAGCTTCTAAATAAACTACACCGTGGACTCTCAGCCTCTAAACAAACTACACCGCGGGTTCTCAATGTCCATTATGTAATGTCCATTATAAAATGTCCATTATGTAATGTCCATTATAAAATGTCCATTATGTGATGTCCATTATTGACTCGTCTTTGACCTCTGGTTAAATAGGAACCGATTATGTCGTCAGGTGGATTTATGTCTATATTAACCGAAGTTTGAATGAATCATTTTTTTTCTTTAATTAGTTTTACAATTTCTTTAACTCATGTTTCAATCAGTCTTTTCTTCTTTAGTTTGTTTTACAATTTTTATAATCCAAGTTTTTTACCAATCTTATCTTCTCTAAGTTGTTTCACTATTTATTTGATCCATGTTTTGAACAAATGATTTCTTCTATTGTTTGTCTCACTATTAATTAAATCCATGTTTTTAACCAATCATCTCTCTAGTTTGTCTCACCATTTATCTAATCCATGTTTTTAACCAATCATCTCTCTAGTTTGTCTCACAATTTATCTAATCCATGTTTTTAACCAATCATCTCTCTAGTTTGTCTCACCATTTATCTAATCCGTTTTTATCCAATCATATCTCTAGTTTGTCTCACAATTTATCTAATCCATGTTTTTAACCAATCATCTCTCTAGTTTATCTCACCATTTATCTAATCCATGTTTTTAACCAATCATCTCTCTAGTTTGTCTCACCATTTATCTAATCCATGTTTTTAACCAATCATCTCTCTAGTTTGTCTCACCACTCCCGCCATACGCGTACAAGAACCGGAGTTCCGGCCCGTTCAGACGGCCTACACGTATAAGAGGGGGGAGCAAGCGAGACTACTCTGCTCCATCAAACATCTAGGGGAGAGAATCGTAAGTAAAATTTGTACTACTTATAGTATCACATTGCAACATTTTTTTAAAGTTTCTTCCCCTTACCTGAGATGTGTACTTGCCTCTATTTTCTACCACGTCATCACCTTTTAGTTTTTGTTTAATTATCTCCCCCTGCGCCTATACTCTCTCTTCAAGTCTTAGAACTGAATGCTTCGAACTCGCGTTATTTACTTAAGCTATCTCTCCTTATCATCAGTTGATATCTCGGTACCAGGAGCCGAGTCCCTGGTCTCAAAGTCAAACATCTGGAATGATCTAGAATGTTGCTGAACAAACAACCAAAAGTGGTGTAATGTTTTCTCCAACTGGTATAGTCATGGTTCACTTACCCTGCCCGGGTCACGGGATTGACATCCGAGGTGTGGTTACCTCGTCACGTGGTTTATCAACAACCAGTGCCAGTCCATCCGTCAGTGCCGCTGGATATTCAATTGTATCCAATCCATCTTTTCGAAGTCGTCGTAGTGTAGATCCCGTGACGTCACGAGGGAATACAAAGTTGTGTTTTTACGTTGCCCATGTTTACGTTTAGTTTGACGTCATAGTATTCACCCAAACTCACGTCATCATTGAATACACACAGTCGTGTGAACGTGTTGTGAACTAGTGTGTATCACCTACGACACGTCATACAAGTAGGGTGTGTGACACGTTGACTACGTCACGCTAAATACATAGAGGATAGGTTTTATTTCAGACATTTTTTTTCTAGGGAGGGAGGGACAGAAATACATGAAAGATACACTGGAACAGAACCGTGCATAGAAAAAACATTGCCATTATACCAACTAACTAGACAAAGCGCGGGACACTCGCAGATAGGTCAGAAAGTGTTGGCACCCACGGGATTCTGACCCGGGGGGGGGGGGGGGGAGAAGTGGGGGTTGGTCAAGCTCTAGAACCAACTGGGGTTAGCCCACGGTACAATTAACCCACTCTGAATCTTTACACCAAACCTAAACCAACTTACTCGTTTTTATAAGGGCGGGGTTTAGATAAGATTCCATCAAAATTACATCTTTGATGCCACCTGCCACCAATGTGACGACTACCCACGCATTCAGAAAGTCTTGTGTTACGACTAGATATTTTAATTAGTTTTAATTTATTTTTCAAAATAAAACAATGTCGACATCATGTCTTGGACAAAATGAAATCTCGAGCCCGTCAACAACCCAGGACTAACCTAAAGCTTATCATCCCCATACATCCACACATATTGATGAAATCATTATCACGCATCACTAATTCTACTATGTGATCTTAAAGTACCGTTAGTTCTGGAGAAGCATCAATCCCAGCAATACTTGCGTTCACCATCATCGTCATCATTATCTTCATCGTTTTTCTGTACTTCTTATGGGGCTTAGTGACAAAGCCACAACCCTCTAACGTACTCAGTTTTGGTCGATTCTTCCAAGTTAGGCCCATAACATTCCGACTGCTTATGCTTCCTTGACAAAGGATCTTTACCAATTTTTTTTGGCCCCTAATGTCTCACCACCTGGTATGCCACCACCTAATGTCTCACCACCTGGTATGCCACCACCTAATGTCTCACCACCTGGTGTTTCACCACTAATGTCCACCACCTGGTGTGTCACCACCTAATGTCTTACCACCTGTTGTGTCACCACCTAATGTCTCACCACCTGGCGTGTCACCACCTAATGTCTCACCACCTGGTGTTTCACCACTAATGTCCACCACCTGGTGTGTCACCACCTAATGTCTCACCACCTGGTGTGTCACCACATAATGTCCACCACCTGGTGTGTCACCACCTAATGTCTCACCACCTGGTGTGTCACCACCTAATGTCTCACCACCTGGTGTGTCACCACCTGGTGTGTCACCACCTGGTGTGTCACCACCTAATGTCTCACCACCTGGTGTGTCACCATACAGGTGAGCTGGAGAAAAACGACGGACAAAAACCCCCTGACCATCGCCAGCAAGACCTGGGTGGACGACCCGAGGATACGGGTGGACCACGAGGAGTATGGGGAGAACTGGGACCTGCTCATTAGTGACGTCACACCTGACGACAGCGGGGAGTATGAGTGTCAGTTCACTGTCAACAGGAAGAAATTACGTCAGGTGGTTAACCTGACAGTCACAGGTGAGTCTAGTAGACAGTGACAGGTGAGTCTATCTGACAGTGACAGGTGATTCTACCTGACAATGAGTCAACTTGAAATGACAATTACCTGACTTGTCAGATGAATTACCTTGACAGGTGAGATAATTACTTTAACTAGAACTGTGTGCTGTAGACATTACCGCATCTCTCAACTCTTGATCAGGTCTAACACAAAATATTTTATAACAACGACTCAAATCACTCCAACCTTCACCTTCATGAAGATTATACTCTCATGAGTTCCTTGGGCTATGTTGACAAGTCGAGTTCAAAGGCATTCCTCAAAATATATTAACTCTTATGTCATAACCCCTCACACCCCCCCCCCCCCCTTCAACAATACCAATATCTATGACCCCCCACCCCCCTTACCCGTCAATGATGTCAACATCTAAAGACCTAGCCACTTCAAGAAACAACTACAAACAGCTGGGACTAATCCAAACATGATTACATATATCATCCTGTTAGATCAGTATGGCAAAGGCCACACAGAGTAAAGAAAATCAGATTCATTTTTTTTAAACAGCGACAAAACTTGTTAACAGAATTACACATCGCTGATAACACATTTCTTACGTTCGTTGAAAAATTAAAACGAATGCCAAAAAACCGTTCGTTTTCATTTTTGTTGTTTTAAAAAATGTGATAGAAATAAATGTTTTACTAGAAAGCATTTTTTTTTAGATATTCTTGCTAGACATTGTAGGCATACGGTGAGAAGGGTAAAAAAATACCCGGACATTTTTTCTTAATTTAAACCGCAATAAAACTTAATTTTTGCACCGCTGAGAGCTTCTAAAGCCGATGAACGACGGATTGGAGATGTTGTAGCGGCTGTAAAACAACGGGAATCCGACGTTCGACTAGAGATCAGTATAGAGATACATTCTAAAAATGTTCAAATTTGAAGATGGCGCTGGCTTAAGATACACGGAAGTTAAGTGAGAATAATGTGTGGAATTTGTGGCTTTAATAGTGCATATATAATCGTGTACTATATAGTTGTTTACTTTATGCGTGTTTATTTAAGCTGGCGTTAAGTAGACTAAGCTGGATTATTACCTCCTGTTAATCCCCGATTAGATTTAAGATGATTAACATAAGTGGTGTAAAGCTTGATAGATCGTCACGGTTCATTTGTTGTTTCTCTGTTGCAGAAAACAGCGGGACGGTGAAGCGCAATCCAGGTCAGTTGTTTGGTTCGTTACGCTTGAGTGGTTGCTGGAAGAATCTGTCGTGATATGGGGGGGGGGGGGTAAAGTACATGGGGGGGGGGAGAGTTGGTCAAGAGCTGATGGATTTGAGCTGTGTTTGTGTGAATGTGTGTGTTGTGGGTGTGGGTGGGATAAACTGATTGGGGAGAAAAGATGCGTGAAAAGGGCAGTAGACGTGGGATGGGGCGTGGGGGAGGGGTTGCGAGCGCGGAGTATTAAGTCAAGTGAAGTAAAAAAAGAAAGTGAGCGGGGATTTAATGTAGGGCCAAGACAAACTACTCTTCTCTCTACAATACAAACCACAAAACACTGAATTAGACGAATTGACGGCGGCGTATAAAGCGAACAATTAGACTGACCCACGCATCATTAAGCTGGACGGGTCCATTACACGGGAAGTGCACTTTACTCAATGGGCGTGTCATTTCAAGTGGATTGTGGGACCGTTAGTCACGTGACACAAGACATGTTTCAACAAGCTACTCACAAGCACGTGCATTGATCCTAATCTGGACTGGCCAGATCAATTTAGGATACGTCATTGTGTGCGGCATACAGGGGCGGAGACACGTGAAGTCACATGATCCAGCCTCCACCTGCGCGCGCTGATCTAAGTTTAAATAAATGTAAACTTTAGATACGGTCGATATTTTACACCATTTTTATCAGCTTTGGGAGGATGTGGCTACACTCCCCACCCCTTCCCCATGCTACAGACATAGGTGCACTTTTATTTAGATTTAGGATTAGGATTATATAAGGACGAGCCGACCCGCGGCGTATCATACGCCGCTATTTAGTTGTTTTATTTTCTTCTTTTCAGTAATTCATAATTTGTGAATTCGACAGTACTAACGCTGCCACTGAAAATATTTGCTTTAAAACACTATAAGTTGCTCGTTAAGGACAATACCCTCCCTCCTTTCCCCAACCCCTACCTTTCCCCCCCCCCCCCACCGTGAAAGTATACTCCTCTTAGTTACCTCCCCTAAGTTTAAAATCGTTAACTAAATTATCTGCCCCTAATAGCCGTCACTAAACCCGGCTCTACGATTGTAAATATCTAGCGTGAACCACAGCTCACCAGACCATGTAGGGGTGGGGGTGGTAGGGAGCGCGCTTACAGCTTGGTGTTTTCTATTGTCTCCAAGAAGAGAATTATATATATAGATTTGGTTTACGGGATTTTGGTCACTTTAAATATTAGCGAGTTAAATAATTTACAATATGTAACCGTTGAATTCTGCTATACTTCCCCCATGGGCTATCAGGTTCGAAAATGGAACTTTACTTTTTTGAAACATTTTTACTAAGCTGGTACCCCCTTTCAAAGCAGATCCCATTTGTGTGGCTTTTTCGTATAAAGTATAAGATATGCACTGGTTTCTTCTATATTTAGAATGGTACATGATGCCATAATAAAGTGTATCAGATATGTTGATACGTACCCGCCGTAAATGACATATTTAACTTGGCATATGGCATTAATGACATCATGCTAATGATGGAGTTGTACTATGAAGTGACATTTATGAATGTTTTATAAAGTTGAACGCGATTACTCCTGTATAAACGAGATTTGTTGCATCGTGACGATTACACGTGATAACATTGGTTGGGGCGGCTGGGAGTCACATAAATCATTCATATGGGCTAATGTTGACTGAGTTTACTCAAATAAAAATAATCGTCATTGTGACATCTTGATGTCACGAGTTATCATCCCTATAGACACCCCAATGTCATACCTCATTGTCCATGTGGACATTCGGATGTCGTATGTTATATATCCCTGTAAACATGTTGATGTCACTCAGTGATGTTATATGTTATGTATCCATATAAAAATCATGATGACACAGATGTCATGTTTCGATAAATACATCTTTATGCCCTATTTTATTTATCCGTGTTGACATGTCATTTGTCCTCGTAAACATTCTGATGTCACATGTCATTTGTCCGTGTTGAAATGTTACTTGTCCATGTAAACCTTCTGATGTCGAATGTCACATGTCATTTGTCCGTATCAAGATTCTGATGTCACATGCCATTTGTCCTTTCTACACCCGGATGTCACATCCGTGTTGACATGTCATTTGTCCACGTAAACATTCTGATGTCACATGTCATTTGTCCGTGTTGAAATGTTACTTGCCCATGTAAACCTTCTGATGTCGCATGTCACATGCCATTTGTCCGTGTCAAGATTCTGATGTCACATATCATTTGTCCTTTCTACACCCGGATGTCACATGCCATCTGTCTTGTATACATCCTAATGTCACATGGCATTTGTCCACGTAAATATTCTGATGTCACATGTCATAGTCCTTTTTATGCATCCTGATATCACATTACATTTTCCTTTGTATAAATTATGTCACATGTCATTTGTCCGTGTTGACATGTTACTTGTCCATGTCAACCTTCTCATGTCACATGTCATTTGTCCGTCTTGACATATAATTTATCCATGTCAACATTCTGATGTCACATGTCACATGCTACTTGTCCATGTAAACCACCTGATGTCACATGTCATTTGTCCATGTCAACATTCTGATGTCAGATGTCACATGTTATTTTTCCGTGTTGACATGTCATTTGTCCATGTAAACCATGTGATGTCACATGTCATCTGTCCCCCACAGACATCCTGATCAGCGGCACCCAGTTTGTGAGCCACGGCCAGGACATCAACCTCTTCTGTAACGCCAGCACCGCCGCCAGCCCTGGGCGGAGCCTCGTCTGGTTCAAGGACATGCAGGAGGTCGAGGACGACGGGGAGAGGATCTCCCTCACGACCTTTAACCCCAGGCATAGGTCAGCTAACAACTTTGAACAAAATACCTTGAGAATTTTAAAATTGTAGATTTTTATTTTATTTTTTTTTACGATGCACAGTTTTCGGAGAAAGTATATTGTTACGTCATACGACTACATCTTACCAATCGGAATTTGTAGAATAAGCACTTTATTGGTGGGGGGGGGGATATTTAGATGTTGACGCCGATATTGAACACAAGCATGCTGCGAGTGCTGTCGGTGTTTTGTAGAGATCTCGCAGCACAAGCTAAAAATAGACACAAATTCACAGTCCAGACCCCACACCCCTGCACACAATGCTGCCCCCCTCGCCAACCTCACAACCCTCACACAAATTCACAGTCCTGACCCCACACCCCTGCACACCATGCTGACGCCCTCGCCAACCTCACAACCCTCAAACAACCCATTTTTCTCTGGAGAACCCTTTTCCAACCACTCTCACTCTATCACTAAAGACCCCCATCCAAACACAGACACAACCCGGCCCCACACAGACACAACCCGGCCCCACACAGACACATCCCGGCCCCACACAGACACATCCCGGCCCCACACAGACACATCCCGGCCCCACACAGACACATCCCGGCCCCACACAGACACAGCCCGGCCCCACACAGACACACCCCGGCCCCACACAGACACATCCCGGCCCCACACAGACACATCCCGGCCCCACACAGACACATCCCGGCCCCACACAGACACACCCCGGCCCCACACAGACACATCCCGGTCCCACACAGACACACACCGGCCCCACACAGACACATCCCGGCCCCACACAGACACACACCGGCCCCACACAGACACAACCCGGCCCCACACAGACACACCCCGGCCCCACACAGACACATTCCGGCCCCACACAGACACATCCCGGCCCCACACAGACACACCCCGGCCCCACACAGACACATCCCGGTCCCACACAGACACACACCGGCCCCACACAGACACATCCCGGCCCCACACAGACACACACCGGCCCCACACAGACACAACCCGGCCCCACACAGACACACCCCGGCCCCACCCCCACCCGGTCACACAAACCCTCACCACGCCACCCACCAACTACAATATGACGCCGACAACCTGTGCAATGAGATCAGTATGATCCAGAAACGGGCTTTCAGCGGGTGTAGACTACGATAATCTACTTAAAGGATTATCTTACATGAATTATTCCAGTGTCGCCGTGACCCAAGTCTTAAAACAGATCCAAGAATTCAAGTTGTGTTAAACAGACTCAACTCACACAGACGTGTTGAAGTTGTGCTAGACAGACTCAACTCACACAGACGTATTTAAGTTGTGCTAGACAGACTCAACTCACACAGACGTATTTAAGTTGTGCTAGACAGACTCAACTCACACAGACGTGGTCAAGTTGTGCTAGACAGACTCAACTCACACAGACGTGGTCAAGTTGTGCTAGACAGACTCAACTCACACAGACGTATTTAAGTTGTGCTAGACAGACTCAACTCACACAGACGTATTTAAGTTGTGCTAGACAGACTCAACTCACACAGACGTATTTAAGTTGTGCTAGACAGACTCAACTCACACAGACGTATTTAAGTTGTGCTAGACAGACTCAACTCACACAGACGTATTTAAGTTGTGCTAGACAGACTCAACTCACACAGACGTATTTAAAGTTGTGCTAGACAGACTCAACTCACACAGACGTATTTAAAGTTGTGTTAGACAGACTCAACTCACACTGACGTGTTGAAGTTGTGCTAGACAGACTCAACTCACACAGACGTGTTTAAGTTTTAATCCTTCTACTTATTCTATTCCAGAGGGACTTCCGTTTACATATTTTATTGCACAAAAACAATTGCTGTTTTATATGTTTTCCCAAGAAGACAATTTTCTCAGGGAACATTTCATTAATTACCCATTATATTTCCCTAGAATATCTTAATTTCACCTACTTTACGTTCAGAGCACATTTGACCCATTTTACTTTTCATCTACATTTCTGTCAGGGAACATTTAACCTACTTTTCTCTTAGGGAATATTTGACATATTTTACTTTCAGGGACCACTTAACCTACTTTACTTTCAGGGAACAAATCACCTATTATTCTCTTAGGGAACATTTGACATACTTTACTTTCAGCGAACATTTCCCCTACTTTGCTCTCAGGGAACATTTGACCTACTTTACTTTCAGGGAACAGTTCGCCAGTCAGCTGAGAATAGAACGGGCCAGAGCAGACGACTCTGGACTCTACATATGTAGGTCAGCAGACGAGTTGCTCATGACGTCAGCGCACGTCCATGTATCAACAGGTAATGAAGTTGTTGACCTTTGAGCGAGGTATGTTGACCACACAATTGTTGACCTATGAAAGAGGTATGTTGACAATAAATTTGTTGACCTACAAGAGAGGTATGTTGACCACACAATTGTTGACGTATGAAAGGGGTATGTTGACCATACAATTGTTGACCTATGAGAGAGATATGTTGTCAATACAATTGTTGATCTATGAGAGAGGTATATTGACCATACAATTGTTGACCTATGAAGAGATATGTTGACCATACATTTGTTGACCTACAAGAGAGGTATGTTGACCACACAATTGTTGACCTATGAGAAAGGTATGTAGACCATACAATATTGACCATAAAATCAAATATAAACTCTTTGGATCTGTGGTTGCTAGCCTGGGTTTACAAATGTCCGCGTATACTGACCACGTGAATGAACAGTTCGCCTGTGTTGTCTGAGCTCTACGCTCTCAATATCGCCCTGCCCTCTCCCAACCGAACTTTGACCCCTGGCTGATTTGGTTCATGTTACAGTTTGAGGCTAGCACCTCACATCACGTGACCAACATATCAACCATCAGCTACATCGGCTTGTGTTCGAATCTCGAAACAGCACATGAAATAAATCCTGTAGACAACGACGATTATTGTGAACCTGAATAAGAAGCCCTTCTCATCGTCATGCATGTCGTCAAGTCTATGACTCCCCTACTAGGTGGGTGGGGCGGGGATGTAGAAAACATCTTGGTCTCGTCAATAACTTGAGGGACGTAACGTTACATGTCTACCTGATCTACCAGTATTTGTCTTCCAGCATCCGGCTGAATCTAACACATGTAGATGTGACTTATATAGAAAAAAAAAATGCAATCAAATTGAAAAAAAAAGAAAAAAAAAACATAATTTACCTGCAAACGACTTTAAAGTTCAGCGTGAGTACTGAATTTGAACGAAGGGGGGGGGGGGGGGGGAGACGTGCACGTGGCCAGTCAAGCAAACGGTAAATTTAAAACGTTGAAAGTTGAGTACACGTCTGATTACACGCCTCACGTACATCATGTACATCAAGACATCATGATGTAACCATTACACGCATGTTCTGTAATGGGATTGAACAGAATCAAGTTTTTGATGAAGCTAGCCAAGATTAGTCTATTAAATTGTTAATTAATAAGACATTAATTTGTTTTTACTTTATTTTATTAACTTGAGACTTTCAACACGTAAACACGAAGGTCAAGCAAAATCTGGTGTCGAAAGCACTGTGTATATGTATATATATATATATATACATATGTATATATGTATATGTAACTAGGGGAAGTTACCAGAGACATAAGAACGCAGTACAGCGCTGTCAACTTTGACACGACTGATGCAATAACGCAGGTGTTGGCTGATAACGATCAGAAAGCCAAGGCGTAGTATCTTGGGAAGCGATACGATAAGAACGCAATACGGTCTGTCAACTTTGATGTGACAGGATGCAGATGGCTTATTAAATCGGACTGTACGACAGAAGCGGCGTAATTAACATTCTGATGCAACGATTAGAATCGATTACGATTACGATTATGATAGAACCGAATACGATTACGAATACGAAGGGGATATATAGGAAGGCGACGGCTGAGCTCGCTCTCTCTCTCTCTCTCGATCAGTCAGTCAGTGTGGCAGTATCAAGTTGGTTATTGAACGGGTTAGCCGTATTGTGTTAAGAAGGACGATAGACATGTGCATTCAGTTATTTGAAGACTAGTGAGGACTGTTGGGGGTCAGTTGATTCAGACTATTATTGTGAAGCATTCCTTTTGATTCATTATATTATTGTGAAGCATTTCTTTGATTCATGTAATAAAAGGATCAATAGCGAACCTGCATCTTCGAGTATTTATACTGTGGTCGATGTTGTGTAGAATGAGTGGTTAGACTCGGTAACATTTGGCGTTGTCGAGCAGAACTCGTTAACATTTGGCACTACAGGCAAATAGTCTCGTTACATTTGGCGCTGCGGACAGGATGAATTCAACGAGACTTGCCGCTTGAGGCACCCATAGTCAACCTTGTTCATAACTGTGTTTCGTGTGTGTGTGAATTCGGACATTCAGGAACAGTGAAAATTGAGGAACGAGGAAAATTTTTCATACACACACGGTAAGAAAGAACTCTTTTTTTTTACTCAAGGAATAAAATGTCTACTCTGGACGAGAAGCAGACCCATATTGTGGTCCTGCCCAGAGAGTCCCACATTAACAAATTTTACGGGGACGGTGATCCAGCTTTAACCAACAGGTTCAGTGAAGAGGTCAAAGCGGCCTGGGCCTCGAGACACATGTCACCAGAGGAAAGATTAAGACTGCTGATGGGCAGTATAGGAGAGACGGTTAGGGCAGAGGTCAAATGCCACGATAAAACCATCCAATCAGATCCAGATAAGGTGCTGGATCTAATTATGGAGACCTTTGGGGAGAGACGGTCGGGATCGCAACTGCTATCGGGGTTCGTAGGCTTAAAGCAGAGAATGGCGGAGAGTGTGATGGAGTATTCACACCGAATGAACAGGGCCTTTGATTCGGTAAAGGGCAAAACACCTGACATTGATGTACGCCTACTGAGGGACCATTTCATCGAGGGGCTAGCAACCCCGATCTTAAGGAGAGAGTTGAAAGAGGAGGTCCACAAAGACCCGCAGTTGACCTTCCTTCAGGTCAGGAACTCAGCGATCCGCAGGTCCGAGGATGAGGACCAATCGAACTGTTCGGTGGACAAAGTCTCTGTGCCGGAACATAAACAATCCCCACCCACAGGGACCGGCACGGTGGAAACCATGATGGCTCAACTGTTGGCCCACCTGGATAAGGTTGACCAACGATTGGAGAGGTTAGAAAGCAGGTCAACAGCTGAGAATCAGGAAAAGAACGGGACAAAACAGAGACAGGTTGGACGGCCGCGACCCGCCGGTCCATCGCTCCGGTGGACGGTTGACGGTCGACCAATTTGCTTGTCCTGTTCACAACCCGGACATATGGCACGGTACTGTCAGGGAAACGGTCGTCCTCTGTAAGGCAGGGCCAGGCTACAGAGGGGCGAGGTTATGGCCCAAGAAACAAAATGATGGGAGTCTGTCCCGAAATGGTGATTACGATTGGGGACATCGCGGTGAAGGCAATTGTGGATACAGGCTCCCAGGTGACGACAATTACGGAAAATTTTTACACCAAATGGATGAAAGGAAAAGACCATAGGTTGAGGTCTGACACATGCATGCGCCTGACGGCAGCTAATGGACTAACCATTCCATACTGTGGTTATTTTCTGGCGGATGTCGTGGTGGCGGGACATAGGTTGAAGCAGGTTGGGGTGTTCGTTACGAAACACAACCTAGAGACAAATGTGTCAAATATACCTTGCCTGTTGGGCATGAATATTCTTGGCCAGTTGCCAGAATTTCTTACAAATATTGTCGGATCGACCACACCAGGTCGGGGATCCAAGTTGGCCAGGTTTGCCAAGACCAGAGGAAGGATATCAGTCCCGGCAAACACGGTCAAGGCAATCACATTACAAATTGGTGATAGAAGCGTGAATGGTGATGTGATGATAGAACCATGTGGCGCCGCACTGAGGGCAGGCGTCGTGTTACTGCGGACATACACATCAGCGGAAAATGGACTAGTTCAAGGATTAGTGGCAAATGTTTTGGATGAGGAAATTTTTATACCGCCTAATACTCTGGTAGGAGTACCACAGAACGTCGAGGTACTAAGGTCGGCACAGTGCATCGAACTGAGCAATACCAGCAGTAATGAAGTAACAATTAGGTCGGTCAATGTGACGGCCGAGGTGAAGAAAGAGGATGGCCGATCATATACATTCCCGGAAACTGAGGACCCAAAACTAAATGAATTGCTGAATAAGTACAGGGATATATTTGCCTCGTACGAGGGTGATTTGGGTTACACGGAAGTAATAAAACACCAGATACCCTTACTACAGGACAGGCCTGTGGCGCAACCTTATCGAAGATTACCACCAAGTCACTACTCGGCGGTGAAAGCACACCTGAACGATCTACTAAAAAAGGGAATTATTACAACCAGCACGAGCCCGTATGCGGCACCGATAGTAGTGGTAAAAAAGAAGTCAGGGGAGATAAGACTGTGTTGTGATTACCGGAAATTGAACAATATCACAAGAAGGGATGCATTCCCATTGCCTCGTATTGATGAATGTCTTGATGCGTTGGGGGGAGCAAGATTTTTTTCTACCTTAGATTTGGCTAGCGGCTACCACCAAGTGGCCATGCACCCCAACGATCAACATAAGACTGCATTTATTTCTCCACTGGGACTGTACGAGTGGACCCGTATGCCGTTTGGTCTAACTAATGCGCCTGCTACATTCCAGCGAGTAATGCAGAGTGCTATGAGTGACTTTCTATTTCAAATAATGTTGGTGTACTTGGATGATATACTAGTTTACTCAAAAACTTGGGAGGACCATCTAAAAAGATTAGAACAAGTGTTTCTCCGTCTTAGGGAGATAGGAGTAAAGCTGAACCCAGACAAATGCGGCTTCGGTCTGAAATCGGTACATTTTTTGGGTTATGTGATTTCGTCGGATGGCATCGCCACTGACCCAGATAAAATTGCAGCTGTTAAAGAATGGAAACAGCCAACAACCACGGTAGAGGTCAGATCATTCTTGGGCTTTGCTTCCTATTATAGAAAATTTGTACCTGGTTTTGCAAAAATTGCCGCACCGTTGCATGACTTGGTAAACAAAATGACAAAGAAACACAGTAAGGAGAAAAAGAAAGGCAAAACACAACTGATAGGTGAATTATGGACTGATGAATGCCTGAACTCGTTTAAGCTCTTGAAAAGGCTTTGACAGAGACGCCGATATTAGGATACGCGGACTTTGACAAACCATTTCGGTTAGAAATTGACGCCAGCTCTAAAGGTCTGGGAGCTGTGCTATCACAACAACAAAAGCAAGGTTTCAGGGTTATTGCGTATGCCAGTCGAGCTCTGAAGGAATCAGAGAAGAACATGACAAATTACAGCGCCATGAAACTAGAACTTTTGACATTAAAATGGGCTGTGACTGAAAAATTGAGGGACTATCTATTAGGTGCTAAATGTGTGGTATACACTGACAATAACCCCTTGAGTCACCTAAAGACAGCAAAGTTGGGATCCATCGAACAGCGATGGGCAGCAGAATTGGCACTCTTTGACCTGGAGATAAAATATCGCCCTGGGCGGTCCAATGGCAATGCGGACGCTTTATCAAGGAATCCGTACGAGAGACCGGGCGATGAGGAAGAAACGCTGACAGGAATTTGTGGGGTCAGAGCGTCAACAGATATCCCTCACGGGGTGCAAGTGATGCAAAACGGACAGACCGGGGTGGAGCACATATCCACAGAGCCCGGACATATGGACATTAGTGATTTTAATTGCCTTAATAATAAAGAGATAAGAGATGCCCAGAGAACGGATAGTGGCTTACAGCCGCTGTTGAAACACGTCCAGGAACAAAAATTCCCAGGAAGAAGGGAAAGAGAACAATTTGGTCGAGAAACAAAGAAAATACTGAGTCAGTGGGACCGTCTCAGTAAAAAGGATGGTGTTCTCATGCGGAGAATTCATGACCAAATTGATGGGACAATACACCAGGTGGTGGTGCCTGGACAATTACGAGAAGAAGTGCTAAGGTTGGCACATGACAGGGCAGGACACCAAGGTCAGGACAGGACGCACAAAATATTACGACGGAGGTGTTACTGGCCCAATATGGAAATGGAGGTCAAACGCCATTGTGAGGCTTGTGTGAGGTGTCAGCATGCGAAAATGCCAGTTGTCAAAATGAGACAGCCATCAGGACACCTACTAGCGACAAAACCACTAGAGATTGTGGCTATGGACTTTACGTCGTTGGAGCAATCATCGGATGGGACGGAACATGTGTTGGTAGTGACTGATGTATTCACCAAATGGACTGTGGCGGTGCCCACACGAGATCAGACTGCCAAAACAGTGGCAAAGGTCTTAATAGAACATTGGTTCATCAAATATGGCATACCAAGACAATTACACTCTGACCAAGGAAGGGCCTTTGAGTCAGAAGTAATTAACCAACTGTGCAGCCACTACGGGATCAACAAATCTAGAACAACCACATTTAATCCGAAAGGAAACGGACAGTGCGAGCGGTTCAAACGCAGCATGCATGATTTGCTGCGTACCCTAGAACCTGAACAGAAAAAACGTTGGCCTGATTTTCTCCCAGAGTTGGTATATCTATACAACTGCACCCCCCATGCCACAACCGGCTTTTCGCCACACATGTTGCTGTTCGGACGGGAGGCTCGACTCCCTCTTGACTTGTTCCTAGGAAAAAAGGAGAGTATGACTGGCTCATACACTGCACTGGAATATGTGAATGAACATATGAGACGAATTAGAGAAATGTACAGGGTAGTACAGGAAAGACTAGAACATGAAGCACGGCGAAGGGAACCGCCGGTACAGACAAAGGACCCGCCACTCAAACTGAACGACAGGGTATTACTGCGTAGCCACCCGTTAGGCAGAAACAAAATCCACGACCTCTGGGGACAGGAGATATGGCAAGTCGTGGAGATGCCTAAAGTAGCAGGTGGCCCCTTTAAGATAAGACCCATCGATCACACCAAACCGGATCGGTGGGCGAATATTGCTCAATTAAAGAAATATTGTCATAGTCAAGAAGAGCAGTTACACACAAGGAAACCCAAGACAATTAGGGAACCGGAAACTATAACGGAAATTCACATACCCATCCCTGAACCATGTCACCATCAACAGAACAACAGCGATACACAAGTGGAGGATAACGGCAACGAAGAGGATCCCGTTCCTCCCAGAAGCAGAGAGACAGTAGACCATCAGATAAGTGGTCCGCGGAGAAGTTTGAGAAACAGAAAGAATACGAATTTTTTTGTCAGCAACCATCAATTCTTTCATGGTCGCGCTGGTATGAGAACAGACTGTTCAAAAAGTCATACAAGTGAACTGGTGAAGGCACCAAACGAAAAAAGGTGGATGTGAATTCTAGAACTGTTTTGTGTCTGAGGAAGATGATGTAGACACATTTGATATGTGAAATAGGGATAACGGTCAATCTTATACGAATGTGACGACATTGACAGTGAGTGGAACAATAAATTTTTTTACGGTGGTGCGATTGACTTTGAAGGACTGCACCTGCCAAGCGTTGTTTGTGGTTGATAACACACAAAAAAAGGCAGGGGTGGATGTAACTAGGGGAAGTTACCAGAGACATAAGAACGCAGTACAGCGCTGTCAACTTTGACACGACTGATGCAATAACGCAGGTGTTGGCTGATAACGATCAGAAAGCCAAGGCGTAGTATCTTGGGAAGCGATACGATAAGAACGCAATACGGTCTGTCAACTTTGATGTGACAGGATGCAGATGGCTTATTAAATCGGACTGTACGACAGAAGCGGCGTAATTAACATTCTGATGCAACGATTAGAATCGATTACGATTACGATTATGATAGAACCGAATACGATTACGAATACGAAGGGGATATATAGGAAGGCGACGGCTGAGCTCGCTCTCTCTCTCTCTCTCTCGATCAGTCAGTCAGTGTGGCAGTATCAAGTTGGTTATTGAACGGGTTAGCCGTATTGTGTTAAGAAGGACGATAGACATGTGCATTCAGTTATGTGAAGACTAGTGAGGACTGTTGGGGGTCAGTTGATTCAGACTATTATTGTGAAGCATTCCTTTTGATTCATTATATTATTGTGAAGCATTTCTTTGATTCATGTAATAAAAGGATCAATAGCGAACCTGCATCTTCGAGTATTTATACTGTGGTCGATGTTGTGTAGAATGAGTGGTTAGACTCGGTAACATTTGGCGTTGTCGAGCAGAACTCGTTAACATTTGGCACTACAGGCAAATAGTCTCGTTACATATATATATATATATATATATATATATATATATATATATATATATATATATATATATATATATATATATATATATATATATATATATATATATATATATATATATATATATATATATATTAGTAGGTGCTATATTTTATCATATAGCCTCATATCTATTTAGAATACATTAAATTATATATATATAATTATATATAATTATATATATAAATGTATATATATATATATATATATATATACATTTATATATATATATACATTTATATATTTAATTATATATAATTATATATATATATATATATATATATATATATATATATATATATATATATAATTTAATGTATTCTAAATAGATATGAGGCTATATGATACAATATAGCACCTACTAACCTCTATAAAGGTTGCTCAATGTTTCTGTTCTGTTTCAGAAGTTTCGGGCTCAAATAACGTCAAGCGAGGTGAGTTACAGCCCTTAGTAGCATTACATTAATTGCAACACACTTAAACCAGATGGGAAAGTAGTGGGGGGGGGGGAGGGGTGAATAAAAGTTCTTAGTTAATTGTGTTCATCTTCCAGCTGGGTGGGGGGGGTAGTGAATGAGCGTCCTTAATTAACTTCATCTTTCAGTTGGGGGGGGGGGGGGGTGCAGTGAATGTACGTCCTAAGCTACTTATGTTCATGTTTTCAGCTGGGTGTGGGGTGCAGTGAATGAATGTCCTAAGTTACTTATGTTCATGTTTCCATCTGGGCGGGGGGGGGGTGCAGTGAATGAATGTCCTAAGTTACTTATGTTCATGTTTCCATCTGGGCGGGGGGGGGGTGCAGTGAATGAATGTCCTAAATTACTTATGTTCATGTTTCCATCTGGGCGGGGGGGTGCAGTGAATGAATGTCCTAAGTTACTTATGTTCATGTTTTCAGCTGGGTGGGGGGGGGGGGGGTGCAGTGAATGAATGTCCTAAATTACTTATGTTCATGTTTCCATCTGGGCGGGGGGGGGGTGCAGTGAATGAATGTCCTAAGTTACTTATGTTCATGTTTTCAGCTGGGTGGGGGGGGTGCAGTGAATGAATGTCCTAAATTACTTATGTTCATGTTTCCATCTGGGCGGGGGGGGGGGGTGCAGTGAATGAATGTCCTAAATTACTTATGTTCATGTTTTCAGCTAGGTGGGGGGGGGGGGGGGAATAAATGAATGTCCTAAATTACTTATGTTCATGTTTTCAGCTGGGGGGGGGAGTGAATGAACGTCCTAAGTTACTTATGTTCATGTTTTCAGCTGGGTGGGGGGGGGGGTGCAGTGAATGAATGTCCTAAATTACTTATGTTCATGTTTCCATCTGGGCGGGGGGGGGGGGGGGGGGGGTGCAGTGAATGAATGTCCTAAATTACTTATGTTCATGTTTCCATCTGGGCGGGGGGGGTGCAGTGAATGAATGTCCTAAATTACTTATGTTCATGTTTTCAGCTGGGTGGGGGGGGGGGAATAAATGAATGTCCTTAATTACTTATGTTCATGTTTTCAGCTGGGGGGGGGAGTGAATGAACGTCCTAAGTTACTTATGTTCATGTTTTCAGCTGGGTGGGGGGGGGTGCAGTGAATGAACGTCCTAAGCTACTTATGTTGATGTTTTCAGCTGGGTCCGTCTCGAGCCTGCAGGAATCCAAGGCTGTCCTCACTGTCCGGCTGGCCATATCCAACTCTACTTTCGTTTTCGTCATCCTGCTGGTCCATCGTCTGTTCACGTGACCCACCACCGCTGTAGTTGTGTAACGTGTGCAGGCATGTGCAGAGTTGTGCAGACATGTGCAGACGTGTACAATCTTGTGCAGACTATTACAGACTTTTACAGATGTGTGAAGATGTGTGCATTCTTGTGCAGAAATTTTAAATTGTGTGCAGACGGCTGCAGACTTACCCAGTTATCAACCCCTCAGGTTTATTCATTCAAGTCAATTATTTGATCATTCAAGTTAATTATTTGATCATTCAAGTTAATTATTTGATCATTCAAGTCAATTATTTGATCATTCAAGTCAATTATTTGATCATTCAAGTCAATTATTTGATCATTCAGGTCAATTATTTGATCATTCAAGTCAATTATTTGATCATTCAAGTCAATTGTTTGATCATTCAAGTCAACTACCTGGTTATTCTATCTGTTCCCTTGGTTATTCTACACTTAGTCGTTTAATGAACCTTCCTCGCATTCATTGGCATATATTATAGAGTGGTCAAGTCATAAAGCGGTCAAGTCAAGGAGTGGTCAAGTCAACATTCTATCAATCATTGTTGATTTGTTTTAAAAATCCCTAAATACCTGTATTTATTTTTAATTAACCAGCTGTACATTACTCACCCAGTTAATGATAATTCACACGTGAATTTCGCCTCATATTCGGCTTTAATTAGAATATATTTGACTATAACAATAACAAGATAGAGTCACGTGATGAGTTTAACCTTTGACCTCCACGGGTACGGATGTGTTGGTTCTAGACGCCGGAAGTGGAAACCATGGGAACCGTGTCTTACATTCGTTTCTTGCTGGCTTGGTATGAAGTGTGTTCATGTGCGGCAGTTTGTAGCGGAATGTGTGTTAGATTTATTTTGTCCTTGTTATCTTGCTACGTTCTATGTGTGTTCCTTTGTTGAACATCGCAGAACAAAATTCAGATTTCTAGGATTTTTTATGATTTTCAACATGATCTGTACATTTTTGTCTAAAAATTTAAACCCACTTAGTCGATGTTTTTTTTTCTTAATGTTTCGAGTTTAATGGATGATGCATGTTTTTCCAAGATGTATATATCTCTGTAAATGCGCGAAAGTTGATTTGATAGTTTGAATTATTTATGAATATTTTAAGCCGTTCTGTTTATTGAGTTTAGAATCTGATACGTCTAGAAGCTAACTAGAATTATGATTCATTAATTTTAAATAAGACGCATGCGATGCTGGTAGGACATTTTTAAAATGTGATTAATTCTACAATAACAACATTTATTGGAAGATATACGGTAAAAATTCATTTAAGTGGAATTAACTTGTCTAGACATTAACCGGAAGTAGCTATTTATAGCTATCAGATGGGGATTTATTCGTTCCAGACGATGATTTTAATATGCTTGGGCCTGGATTTTTTTATCGGCAGCATAAAGTCTGCACGTGCCCAAGACTTTCTCACTTTCTAGCTTTAGTTGAAAAAACTTTTTTGCTGCAGGTATTAACTCATACATGCAGTATGCTGTTAGCTTTAACTAACACAGCTCGTATGCTATTAGCTGTAAGACAGTCATTAATATCCTGCTCGCTTAACTAAGACAGCTCGAATAATGCCAGCTGTGAGGGCCTATATGCTAATATCTTTAGCTAAGACAGCATTTATGCTCATAGCTTTAACTAAGACAGCATTTATGCTACTAGCTTTAACAAATACAGCATGTATGCTGCTAGAGGTTGTAGAACATTTTTGCCTTTAACATCGATTAAAACAATCTTCACTAGATGATGTCACAGGTTGCAGTGGATTATGCCACAATCTCAGTGGATTATGCCACAATCTCAGTGGATTATGCTACCAGCCTCAGTGGATTATGCCACATGCTCACACATACCCCGACACCACATATCCCTACACCACACACCCCAACAGCACACACCTCGACACCATACATCAAGCCACCACACACCCTGACACCACTAAACACACAACACACACCCCGACACCACACATAATGCCACCACACCCCGACACCACACAACCCTACAGCACACATCACGACACCACACACAATGCCACCACACCCCTACACCACACACCCCTACACCACACACCTCGACACCACACACCTCGACACCACACATCATGACACCACACACCATGCCACCACACCTCGACACCACACACTCCGACACCACACACCTCGACACCACACACCTCGACACCACACCTCGACACCACACACCTCGACACCACCCATGATATACACAAAATCCCAACATATAAAACAATCTGGCTGTGACTTCATATATAAACTGAGAGTGTAAATTTGATGTAAATAGACTTGACCCTAGAATATTTATTTTTGTGATAAACTGGACACTAGAAATGAAGGTTTTCCCTTGTGAATGTATATCTCAACATTTCTATGTATAAAGTTACTTTATTGAAGTATATTTCAATATTTTTATTTTACTGACATTATGTGTTCAGACTTGCTGTTGATGTTTTCATTTTACCGAAAAGTATAAGTTTATTTTATACATAAATATATAAATACATATATATATAAAGATATATATATATATATATATATATATATATATATATATATATATATATATATATATATATATTGTGTGTGTGTTCCCGCGCGCGTGTGTGTATTCTCGTGTACGTGCGTGTTTGTTGTGTGTGCTTTAGTTTATGTGAAAAGACCTGTTTGAAAGAAATTACAGAATTTTTTTAAACTGCTATTTTTTGTTTTGACAGCACTGATATTGTATTATATTTTAGTTTACTTTTTCTTAAGGCTATAAATTGGAAGAATTATGTTGCATAGAAAATTTCAGTCATATGGATTAGGCTTGGTATTGATGGTGGTTTCAATGTAAAATGGCTGTTATGGCGTGTTTTTATGTAAACATTGCATTCATCTGTTTAGGGACTGTTGTGATACACAAATTTTATTTGTTACGATGAGCCGCATAAATGTTGGGAATAGAGAAATGGGTATTTGTTTTTTATTTTTGCTAATTTTTCAGATCCATTTAAGTTTTGTGTATGCTGATACATTATCGCATACCATGTATATGAATATACACCATATAGTTTTGTATATGTTGATAAATCATGTAGTTTATTGTGTGTTGGTCCTGTATTTTGTATGTTGATAAATCATAGTCTATAAAATTTCGTGTATGTTGATACAGTACAGTTTCGTGTTTGTTGATATACTATCTTTTAAGTTGATAAATCACTGTCTTATAGTCCAGGGTATGTTGATACATGGTATAGACATGTTTTAACTCACGTCCTTTTCAATACATAACTCGTCATTTAGGAGAAAATACATCACATACAGCCCAATAATTTAGGTAAAAATACATAAACCATCATTGAGCCATTAATACATCATAGATAAATCTATCATATATATCATTTAATTCATAATTAATCCATTATTTTACTGAAAATATATTTATTTGTGACCTTTCATAAAAGTGACAATTTACCGTACATTAGCCATAATTTATGTGATAAAATATCATTCATAATCCTACCTTCCAGATGATAATATATCATTCATAAACCTATCATTCAGTTGATAATATATCATTTATAAACCTACCATCCAGATGATAATATATCGTTCATAAACCTACCATCCAGATGATATAATGTCATTCATAAAGCTATCATTCAGTTGATAATATATCATTCATATACCTACCATCCAGATTATAATATATCATTTATAAACCCACCACTAAAGTGACAATACCTCACTCATAAACCAAGTACTAAAGTGACATTACATCATTCATTCCCTATCATTCTTGAATTCACACGACACCTAGCATAAGATAGCAACCCGCCTTAAGAAGAAAATTTTTGTTTGTAAGTTTGTGATTTATGTACCTCCAATGTTGAACGTTATTTTTATGAAGAAGACTGAAATAAATTTATTAATTATTAGCTGAAAATCCGAGTCGAATTTATGTGTTATCTAATCCAGGATAGACAACCAGGTGTATCCTGCACGCTGTACAGGTAGGCTCGTTTGATCAACAGGTGCATTCCTAGGTGCACCGATGCACTGAGTGCGCAGTGCTAATGTGGAACGTCTGAGTGGGACAGGAGTCTAAGTTTGGTGTTTCCATGGTAACTTGGTTTCGTTGGGTGTTTCCATGGTACCTTGGTTTTGTTGTGTGTTTCCATGGTAACTTGGTTTTGTTGTGTGTTTCCATGGTAACTTGGTTTTGTTGGGTGTTTCCATGGTTACTTGGTTTCGTTGGGTGTTTCCATGGTAACTTGGTTTTGTTGTGTGTTTCCATGGTAACTTGGTTTAGTTGGGTGTTTCCATGGTAACTGAGTTTCGTTGGGTTTTTGCATGGTAACTTGGTTTAGTTGGCTGTTTCCATGGTAACTTGGTTTCGTTGGGTGTTTCCATGGTAACTTGGTTTCAGGAGGATCGTTGAATATGTATCGGTTTTCGCACTAAAGTCGGAAATTTTCTTACTGTTTATTTATTTATGGTTAGGGTAATAGGCTCTCGTTAGTGCTTCAGTCAAGCTAGGGTCAGGGCTGTGATAAGAGTTATGGTTAGAGTTGTGGTTAGAGTTAGGGTTGGAGTTTAGGTTAGGGTTAGGGTTGGAGTTAGGGTTAGGGTTAGGGTTGTGGTTAGAGTTAGGGTTGGAGTTAGGGTTAGGGTCTTTCTATAAGGACTAGATTCAAGAATAATGTCATCATGATTAAAGGCAGGACGAAGATTAAAGATGAGTTCACTCAGCTCTAATGGGTACCTAGCCCTAGTCGATGAAAGTTAAGACAACCAAGCTTAGTGCTGAGCATAAAATCACTCAGATACTGAGTTCAACGAAACAGATCAACTTGACCTAACTACCAGTCCGGGACTTAAAGGGTCGTTTATATGTCCCATAGCGAGTCCTAAATCAAGCGGCCCTACAGCGCTAACATAGCAGCAAAGGTTAGTATAGGCTATCTGAACAGCCATATGGTCACGAAGGAATATTTTAAAATCACATTTTTTTTACACCGCCATATCACAGCTTAATATAAGAAAAGACCACAGCATCTAAATATCAAGAAATACGGCCATGAGATCTAAACCATAATAATACAGAAATGACATCTAACATCTAAATGACAAAATAAAGCCATGACATAAATACAATAAAAATACAGTCATGACATTTAAATGACAAATGCCGCCATGACATCTGATTGACAAGAAATGCTTCTACATTTAGATCATAATAATACATATATGACATCTAAATGTACACAAATAAAACCATGAAATACAAATGACAAAAAATAAATCCGTGACATCTAAATGACAAAAATACAGCCATGACATTTAATAGACAAAAAAAATGCAGCCATGACATCTAAATGACAAACATACAAACATGACATCTAAATGACAACATACAAACATGACATCTAAATGACAAAAATACAGCCATGTCATTTAATAGACAAAAATGCAGCCATGACATCTAAATGACAACATACCAACATGACATCTAAATGACAAGAACCTTTACCCTCTATCTACCACAGGCCCCACTCATGCACGCCGCCATCTTTAAACATATAATTATTGCTCCAGCCAATCAGGGCCATCCTGACATAAGCTGCTGACATGCTGAATCCACTTTTGCTGACCAGCAGGACCTTGCATGACGTCATCAACAGCAGCTGCTCCACCAGGGCCGTCTTGAGCCCCTCCCTCTCGTCCTGACCTTGAACCACGTGTGCAATGTGCACCAACGGTGCGTCCAGGTTGTGCAGCCTTGACCCGAACATAGTTTTGGCCTCTTTCCGTACCTGCCAATGTGAAAAATTTCTCTCATTAAAATTTTTAATTTTTCAATTACCGGTGTTTGACTTTTGTAAGATGAAAATAATCCAACCACTACAAGTTGAAAAGTTGGATGAGGTTTTAGGGTTCAAAAAAGTCAAATATTGATGTTTACATTTCGAAAATTCAAAAGCTGAATTTTACAGTTTTTAGGGTGAAAATTGGAAAGTTATTGAAAACCAGTTTTAGAGAGAAAAGTTTTTTAAGCTATTGAGGAGATGAGTAGAGGAAAATTATCAGAAGAGTGACTTGTAGTGATCATCAAACGAATTTTTACCATCTTTTAATTTGACCCTGCTAATTCAATCCTATTGGACGGCATAACCTAGAGGTAGAGAGCTAGACTGATAACCCGAAAGTCGAGTTCGAATCCGTTTTTAAGTCTGTAGAGCTTCCCTAAGTCCACCCAACTCTGATGGGTACCTAACTGACGTTAGGGAAAGTAAAGGCGGCTGGTTGGCTTACCAAACTATCCCTTTATAAGTCGAGGACTCTTCCTAGTCTGCCCCATGTGTCTTGTGCACGAACGGCTGAAGATGATGAGTTAAATCCTAAATATCTTTAATTAATCCTAAATATCAAATCAACCTACCTCGTCGCTGTCAGTAGCCAGGTACACGTGATGCCCAGACTCCAGGTACGGTCTGAGAAAGTTCCAGACCGCCTGGACTGAGTTGAGGCTGTTCCTTCTCTCCTTTTCAAAAGGCAAGGTCGAGCTGTGACCGATCCGTATATGGGCACACACCAAGTTCAAGTCGGCCACACCATAACCCTTAAGTTGACCAATACCATCCTTGGATATCCCAGGCCGTAGAGACGGGGCTAGCTTTAACTGCGGTCCGTTTGTCGCTGGTTTGGTGTCTGTATTACTGCAGTTCACACAGGATTTGTTCCCACTCAATAAAGGGTCATCGATCATCGATTGGGATATATTGATCAGCAGTTCGTTTAATTTAGCACGCAGCTCGTGGGTTGGTTGTGTGAGTTTAAGCCACGCCTTAGAGAAGATGTGGCACCGCCTACTGCTGAGCCAGCCCGGGAGGCGGTGCTTGTAGTAGGGGTTGAGCTTGAGCTGGCGCCATAGCTCGTGGTTGGTCTTGATGTAGACGACATCCTGGGGGTAGACGGCGTTAAAGTTGATCTCCTTCAGCTCAGTGGCCGAGCTCTGGAAGTACTGGGGTGGGGGGGGGGGTTGGTTAATGGTTGGTTTAATGGTTGGTTTAGAGGTTGGCCTAATGGTTGGTTTAGAGGTTGGCCTAATGGTTGGTTGGTGGAGCTCTGGAAGTACTGGGGCGAGATGGGTGGGGTTGGTTGGTTGGTCTAATCGTTGGTTGGTCAAAGCTAGGGGTTGGTCAGATTGTTCGAGTTTGGGGGTTGGTTGAATGGTTGGTAGGTCGAAGCTTGGGGTTGGTCAGATTGTTCGAGTTTGGGGGTTGGTTGAATGGTTGGTAGGTCGAAGCTTGGGGTTAGTCAGATTGTTCGAGTTTGGGGGTTGGTTGAATGGTTGGTAGGTCGAAGCTTGGGGTTGATCTAGTATACTGTGGACAGACGTGGTATCGTTGGTTGGTACCTGGTCTAGACTAGGGGTTGGTCTAATGACAGTTGGTACCTGGTCTAGACTGGGGATTGGTCTAATGACAGTTGGTACCTGGTCTAGACTGGGGGTTGGTGTAATGACCGATGGTACCTGGTCTAGACTAGGGGTTGGTCTAATGACCGATGGTACCTGGTCTAGACTGGGGGTTGGTCTAATGACAGATGTTACCTGATCTAGACTAGGGGTTGGTCTAATGACCGATGGTACCTGGTCTAGACTGGGGGTTGGTCTAATGACAGATGTTACCTGATCTAGACTAGGGGTTGGTGTAATGACCGATGGTACCTGGTCTAGACTAGGGGTTGGTGTAATGACCGATGGTACCTGGTCTAGACTAGGGGTTGGTGTAATGACCGATGGTACCCGACCTACACTACGGGTACTCTACTGTCATTGCTAAATTTAAATAAACAAAGGTTACATTACTCAGGCGGTCAAAGAGTGAAGGGCACTTTATTTTGATGGGTATAAATATAGAAACAAAGGGTAGCTTACTCTGATTGTTGTAGTTGATTTGTTTCTCAGCTCCTCCTCTGGAATGAGCCAACCAACTTCGTTTGGCTCATAAAAATCCTGAAACGGCCATGGTGACGTCATACTGATGCCGAACTGTCTGTTGGTGACTTCTGCCAGAGCGTACACCCCCACCACCCCCCGCTGGCGGTCACCGAGACCGTAGCAGTACTCACTCTTGTCGCACAGGTAGATCAGGTATTTCTTGCCCGGTGGGGGCGGGGAATTGGGAGGGGTGGAGCTCTGGTTTTGGCTGGATGTAGAAGCAACTGAGGTGAAGGTCGTAGCTACTGATGTCAAGGTCGTTGATCCTGAGGTCAAGGTCGTTGACACGGACAGATTGATCTTATTGGTGCTGGTTTCGGTTCTTGGGGTGTGTTCTTGTGTTGAGTGACGTGTGTCAGGTTGGTGGGCGGAGTCTTGTTCTGGCTGTGTGGCATCAGTTGGCTGGTGGGCGGAGTCATGATCTAGTCGGGTGTCTTCTGCCATCGCGTGGGCGTAGTCTCGTTGACGCCTTGCCTCTACATCACGTGGCCTCTGATCTGAAATACTGACCACCAAAGTTTGTAAGAAATACTGACCACCAAAGTTTGTAAGAAATACTGACCACCAAAGTTTGGAAATACTGACCACCAAAGTTTGGAAATACTGACCACCAAAGTTTGTAAGAAATACTGACCACCAAAGTTTGGAAATACTGACCACCAAAGTTTGTAAGAAATACTGACCACCAAAGTTTGGAAATACTGACCACCAAAGTTTGGAAATACTGACCACCAAAAATTGTAAGAAATACTGACCACCAAAGTTTGTAAGAAATACTGACCACCAAAGTTTGTAAGAAATACTGACCACCAAAGTTTGTAAGAAATACTGAGCACCAAAGTTTGGAAATACTGACCACCAAAGTTTGGAAATACTGACCACCAAAAATTGTAAGAAATACTGACCACCAAAGTTTGTAAGAAATACTGACCACCAAAGTTTATAAGAAATACTGACCACCAAAGTTTGTAAGAAATACTGACCACCTAAGTTTGAAGGAAATACTGACCACCAAAGTTTGTAAGAAATACTGACCACCAAAGTTTGTAAGAAATACTGACCACCAAAGTTTGTAAGAAATACTGACCACCAAAGTTTGTAAGAAATACTGACCACCAAAGTTTGGAAATACTGACCACCAAAAGTTTGTAAGAAACACTGACCACCAAAGTTTGTAAGAAATACTGACCACCAAAGTTTGTAAGAAATACTGACCACCAAAGTTTGTAAGAAATACTGACCAACAAAGTTTGGAAATACTGACCACCAAAGTTTGGAAATACTGACCACCTAAGTTTGGAAATACTGACCACCAAAAATTGTAAGAAATACTGACCACCAAAGTTTGTAAGAAATACTGACCAACAAAGTTTGGAAATACTGACCACCAAAGTTTGGAAATACTGACCACCAAAGTTTGGAAATACTGACCACCAAAAATTGTAAGAAATACTGACCACCAAAAATTGTAAGAAATACTGACCACCAAAGTTTGTAAGAAATACTGACCACCAAAGTTTATAAGAAATACTGACCACCAAAGTTTGTAAGAAATACTGACCACCTAAGTTTGAAGGAAATACTGACCACCAAAGTTTGTAAGAAATACTGACCACCAAAGTTTGTAAGAAATACTGACCACCAAAGTTTGTAAGAAATACTGACCACCAAAGTTTGTAAGAAATACTGACCACCAAAGTTTGGAAATACTGACCACCAAAAGTTTGTAAGAAACACTGACCACCAAAGTTTGTAAGAAATACTGACCACCAAAGTTTGTAAGAAATACTGACCACCAAAGTTTGTAAGAAATACTGACCAACAAAGTTTGGAAATACTGACCACCAAAGTTTGGAAATACTGACCACCAAAGTTTGGAAATACTGACCACCAAAAATTGTAAGAAATACTGACCACCAAAGTTTGTAAGAAATACTGACCACCAAAGTTTATAAGAAATACTGACCACCAAAGTTTGGAAATACTGACCACCAAAGTTTGTAAGAAATACTGACCACCAAAGTTTGTAAGAAATACTGACCACCAAAGTTTGTAAGAAATACTGACCACCAAAGTTTGGAAATACTGACCACCAAAGTTTGGAAATACTGACCACCAAAGTTTGGAAATACTGACCACCAAAGTTTGTAAGAAATACTGACCACCAAAGTTTGTAAGAAATACTGACCACCAAAGTTTGTAAAAAATACTGAGTAAGCACGTGCTAGCATGTTGGTTAAAGACACGGTAACAAACAAAACACACCATAACTTAGCAACATGAATACAAGAATATTCTTTTATGTTCCTGTCATATCAACCAATCGGTGGATAGCTTTAATCAGGTCAACCATAGGTAAGTACAAGACAATGTCAACCGTTGAGACTTACAAAATAAAAGTCAAAAATATTTTTAAAAGCTAGACCTGATACATTTTTACGTTTCTTCTTAGACCTGGATAAAGTAAGGTTCCCTTTTCAAACCTGACGGTATATAGGGCAAGTGAAGTAGAGTTCACTTGTTTCTAAGGGATGATCTACTGACGAGCCCGGATTCGAACTAGACCACTCCGTCCCCGTGACCTGGATTCAGTGGATTGATTTTATTCATGTTTGATTCTTATCAAAACTAGCCGGAAATTTCCGTGTCAGCTGTCGTTTTCACTCGGGTCTCGGGTCAGGCTCGCCGGAACAAATTAATGTGAGTCTCGCCGGAACACATTCGTGTGAGGCTCGTTGGAACAACAAAAATCTAAATCCGAATTCTCGGAATCAGGTCTAGTTTGACGTTAACTGAATTTCTGACGACACTAATTTAGTTTGTAGTTGTGTGACGTCACCAGTGTACTCTAGTCCCAGCCTCACTCAATGACGTCAGCCCATTGATTCACGAGTCTCCAGGAACTCTACTTCAACCTTCTCAAATTTTTTCCCTGCCTAAACTGACGTCTTCACTAGAACCGAAACTCGAGCAGAGAGTACTAGAAAGGTGATTTGACTTGCCACCCGCGAGTCTGGTCGTAGTTTTCATTCAATCATTCACTATTAGATGAATGTGACTATTTGACGAGATGTTGTAGTCAAGTTAAATTAAATTTTTGTGGCGCGCATACAGTCCGGAATCTCGACATTTATCACACTCAAACCTTGATCCATTTATTTTTTCTTAAGTTAATATGAATCCCCCAAAAAACCCTTTTTTAAAAATGACACCGTTAAAAATAATATCGGACACCACTAAGCTGAGTGTTGTAAAATAAAGCGCCCATTGCTTAATACTTCTACCAGAGTTTCTTCCTGGCATCTCTTCGGAGGGAAAGTCTACCGCCCCCCCCCCCCCCCCGAATGAGATTGAATTTATATAGTAAACATATACTTTTACTAGTGTCCGCCACTCCGGAAAATGTAGACCGCCCCCCCCCCCCCCGAAAATATAAAATATCAAGTGCCCCCCCCCCCCACCCGGAGAAAAAAGTCTGGAAGAAACACTGACTACTACACATTACTCCTGCAGTTTAATGCCAATAGCACCTCAAGACTGTCAGTCACAAAATATTAAACCTAACACCCATTTTACTTAATGAGTTCATATAGCCATGTAAACATCAAGTATTATTCTCAATGCCAAAGGTTGACAGAGGTACGTGTTAAAGTCGTAGAAACGAAAGGCCGAAGTGTAAACACTGGCACTAGACTTAAGTTTTACAAAAATGGCGTGTTTCTCACCCACCACTTTTTTTATCGCTGCTACACGAAGGCGTGTGCATGCGTGACCTCTGACCCCGAGGGACACACACTGACCTATGAAACTTAACTATAGACTATTAATAGAACTGAAGTGACATATATATACGATGTACGAAGTGGCCCCTCTAGATTACATAATATAGGCTAAACATGAAGGGGGTGGGAAGTAGGTATTGTTAATGAAATAGCAATGTAAATATCGTTATATTTTCAATGCCAAAGTACACAGGTACGTTATATAGCCACAGAAAAGACAGAGCAGTCTACGGCCAGACAGGATTCGATCCCGCACTCCCCACTGACCAACTCGCCTCGCCTATCGTACAGCTAGCTGGTCAGAAATGTAAACACTGCGGCCAGATTAGTTTCACAAAAATATTATTTTCATGAAACTTTCTTTTATTCAATAACAACGGTAGTCAATTTCTAAAAGAATCCAATTTACAAAAGAAAATATTTTCTTATTTACATTTTTAAAAATAAGAAGTGCTCGAAGTGTTCAACTTAAACTTAAATGTAAGGTTTGTTTCTTTAAACTCGTAGATCGCTCTCTTAATCTTGTTTTTTAGTTTCTATTTTTAACCATTTGTTTTTGTTGCGTATGGTTCAAATGTTATGGCTACAGCTAAAATTACTTGAAATGTGGTTTCATCTATTTCACTTAAACTCTTTTGTCCCATGGTATATCGTTCCCATCATTAGATTTAAACACAAAGTTGATCTAAAAATGACGAGTTCTAGTTGTCACAAAATTCACAAGTGGCAACAGTATCCCTTTCTGTCATGTATGAGACCATCCCATAACATGAATTACCACTGTCACTGACAAAAGTTGCCGACAAACCATGACGCTCGAGGCAGATGTAAAACAATATGTTACACAATTTGAAACCTTACCCTCATGCCCCAGGGTACCAGCGCCATGCCCCGCCCCCTCCACCCACCTACCTGATAAATATACTGGATATGTCGTGCCCCGCCCCCTCCACCTACCTACCTGATAAATATACTGGATATGTCGTGCCCCGCCCCCTCCACCTACCTACCTGATAAATATACTGGATATGTCGTGCCCCGCCCCCTCCACCTACCTACCTGATAAATATACTGGATATGTCGTGCCCCGCCCCCTCCACCTACCTACCTGATAAATATACTGGATATGTCGTGCCCCGCCCCCTCCACCTACCTACCTGATAAATATACTGGATATGTCGTGCCCTGCCCCCTCCACCTACCTACCTGATAAATATACTGGATATGTCGTGCCCCGCCCCCTCCACCCACCTACCTGATAAATATACTGGATATGTCGTGCCCCGCCCCCTCCACCTACCTACCTGATAAATATACTGGATATGTCGTGCCCCGCCCCCTCCACCTACCTACCTGATAAATATACTGGATATGTCGTGCCCCGCCCCCTCCACCTACCTACCTGATAAATATACTGGATATGTCGTGCCCCGCCCCCTCCACCTACCTACCTGATAAATATACTGGATATGTCGTGCCCCGCCCCCTCCACCTACCTACCTGATAAATATACTGGATATGTCGTGCCCCGCCCCCTCCACCTACCTACCTGATAAATATACTGGATATGTCGTGCCCCGCCCCCTCCACCTACCTACCTGATAAATATACTGGATATGTCGTGCCCCGCCCCCTCCACCTACCTGATAAATATACTGGATATGTCGTGCCCCCCCCCCCCCTCCACCTACCTACCTGATAAATATACTGGATATGTCGTGCCCCGCCCCCTCCACCTACCTACCTGATAAATATACTGGATATGTCGTGCCCCGCCCCCTCCACCCACCTACCTGATAAATATACTGGAGATGTCGTGCCCCCCCCCCACCCACCTACCTGATAAATATACTGGATATATCGTGCCCCTCCACCCACCTACCTGATAAATATACTGGATATGTCGTGCCCCTCCACCCACCTACCTGATAAATATACTGGATATGTCGTGCCCCGCCCCCTCCACCCGCCTACCTGATAAATATACTGGATATGTCGTGCCCCGCCCCCCCCCCACCCACCTACCTGATAAATATACTGGATATGTCGTGCCCCCCACCCACCTACCTGATAAATATACTGGATATGTCGTGCCCCCCACCCACCTACCTGATAAATATACTGGATATGTCGTGCCCCTCCACCCACCTACCTGATAAATATACTGGATATGTCGTGCCCCGCCCCCGCCCCCCACCCACCTACCTGATAAATATACTGGATATGTCGTGCCCCTCCACCCACCTACCTGATAAATATACTGGATATGTCGTGCCCCCCACCCACCTACCTGATAAATATACTGGATATGTCGTGCCCCTCCACCCACCTACCTGATAAATATACTGGATATGTCGTGCCCCGCCCCCGCCCCCCACCCACCTACCTGATAAATATACTGGATATGTCGTGCCCCTCCACCCACCTACCTGATAAATATACTGGATATGTCGTGTTGTGCGAGGACTGGCCGGTCTCTGACGGACAGGTAGGACAACACGATGACCACACACACCACCACCACCAAAGCCAGCACCACCGTTTGTCTGCAGCTAAACAAAGTTAAACAAAGGGATTAACGAAACAGTTTAACTAAGGGATTAACGACACAGTTTAACAAAGGGATTAGCGACACGAAATAAGTGACACATTAAAACAAAGGGATTAACGACACGGTTAAATAAAGAGATTAACGACACGAGAAAAGTAAAAAAATTTAAAAAAGAGATTAACGACACGAGAAAAGTGACACATTAAAACAAAGGGATTAACGACACAGTTAAACAAAGGGATTAACGACACGAGAAAAATGACACATCGAAACAAATGGATTAACGACTAGGTTAAATAAAGGGGTTAACGACACAGTTAAACAAAAGGATTAACGAAATGGTTAAACAAAGAGATTAACGACACGAGAAAAGTGACACATTAAAACAGAGGGATTAACGACAGGTTTAAATAAGGGGATTAACGAAACAGTAAAACAAAGACATTACAAACACAGTTAAACACAGTAAATTCCTCACAAGTTTTTTCCAATTTTAAAAAATGTTCATTGTTTTAAAACGAATATAAAAACAAAAATGAATGTAAAATTTTAGGAGAGACTGTTCTACACAGGCGTCTTGTGGCTTCGTTGACACACAAAAATGTCAGCTACTGAGGTAAAAAAAAAATTGACTTTTTTTCACATCGTTTCAAATGCGTTTTAAGTTCATTTTTTCCCTTGTATAATGTTTAAATAATGTGCAAATAGTAAACAAATACATTGTCGCTATATCGTTCAATATACTTAGGTATACTATCTTTTAAACCAGTTGTTTATCAACTCGCAGTTGTTCTCCCCCCCCCCCCCTCACTGCACAGGTCCACACACAAAAACTCGTCCCTATTTTGTGTGTTTCAGCAAATATTCACATAATAAAGCTCCACGTGGGTGCTTGAAAAAGTACCACTACAAAAGATACGCCTCAGTCCAATGGTAACGATACGCTTCGCTGAGAACTAGTTAATAAACGCGATAGTCAACACGTGAACCATTTAGCTTCAAAATATTTCTTCAATGGTGGAACTCTCGGAAGAGGGAGGGGCCGGGTGTGGCTGTTTATGTGAGATCTTAAGTCAATTATGACTGGGTCAAAGCACGCTATTCAATGGGGCTTTAAGTAACTTCGCACTTTAATTTAAAATACTTGCTATATCACTATACCAATTTAAAATATTTGCTGTATCACCTCACCAATAAAATTAAATACTTGCTATATCACTACACCAATACAACACAGTTGTCGAGACAGACAGCCCATCTGTGACGTCACGTTTGATGGTGGGAATTGTATACTGCTCAGTGTTACATCTGACGGGGAGATGCCTAAACGTGTAGGATCCAGTGGCGGATCAAAGGGTAGGCTGGCTGGGCAACAGCTAGGGACCCAAACGTTATGGTAATTCATTTCGATACTCTGCTGTCTGATTGGATTACTACGAACGGTGCCCATACAGCATAACACAGAATGTGATATTTTTAACACCTCTGCCCCATATAACTTAATTATATAATGCCAATATATATCACGACACCTTATACTATATGGATCATCAGGTCTGAATGAAGACTTTTGACTTTATACATTAAAATATCAAGTATAAGTTAACACTAAATATCACGTCAAGTATAAACTACCACTATACATTATACATCGAAATGTCAAGTATTATTATAGCTAACACTGTACATCACAATGTCAGGTATAAGCTAACATTATACATCGAAACTTCTAATGCGACTGCCATACTGAGAATATCTTCAAGTATAAACGTCTTTAATAATAAATAGCTCCATAATCTGATTGACGATTGGACGGTTGGACCTTGGGTGGGAGGTTGAATGGAGCCAGGCCTTGCTGATGTTTAAGATAGCAATTAACATCATAACTGGTCAGCAATATGACCAGTCTCTTCACTATCAGCAACAAGAAAGGACGTGGAAACGATCAACGGAATATACACTGGAGACTAAATATCGTGTCTAATTAACTCCTAATTAAGCATCTGTCATAATTCAGATGCATGGATAGATAGCAAAAGAAAATGTTAACCACGAAAAGCTCACTGTGTCACCAGTAATAAATAACTCCGTGGGGCTTGAGCCTAAACTTTCTGGACTTCAATTGCTGTGTGTACAGCCTGGGTTTTCATTAACTGATTTCGTAAGCTTAATTAATGTTTACAGCCATAAAAGCTAGCTACAGCTAAACAGAATACAGCCATAAATGCTAGCTGCAGCTGAACAGCATACAGTCATGGCATTAAAAACAGCTAAACAGCATACAGCCATAAATACTAGCTACAGCTGAACAGCGTACAGCCATAAATGCTAGCTACAGCTAAACAGCGTACAGCCATAAATGCTAGCTACAGCTAAACAACATACAGCCATGAATGTTTGAGCTGACTCACCTGTTGTTATGTCGCATGTTCTGACGTCAATTCAGCGTGCACGTCATATATCCAACGTCAAACATAAACATTTGCACGTCATATGTCTAACGTCACATATGAAACATTTGACGGCACACAATTCATTTATCTTACGTATCAGAATAAACAAAAATTACGTCACACCTCTACAAATATTCCGTCACACTTCACATAAGTGTCGTCACAAACCACAACATGCTACATTACTTCACAGATCAAAGTCATAATCACCTACATAAACAGGACACCCGCCTCTAACGCCTCTGTTTACAAGTGTACGAGACTTCAAGGCGGTTATGGAACTTTGCTAGCATACCGTGTGTTGTTCCAACTTTGCCTGTGGTACAAACGTGGCATAGGACAAATACTTGGGGCTCTATTTTACCTGTTAGTCATGTTTACCTGTTCGTCGTAGACCTGTGGCTCACCTGACATGGCGCGACGGTGTAACAACTGTATGCTCTGTTCGTTATAATCATATACTGTACACGTAAACTTCAATTGTGTAATATAAGTGTACAATACAATTGTACAGTGGGTGTACACTCGCATTGTTCAAAATATCTTAAGGAAAGCAGTTCATGTACATGTAAAGCAAAGTCATGTCATGTCATTGATCTCTGACGTGTCATGTCATTGATCTCTGACATGTCATGTCATTGATCTCTGACGTGTCATGTCATTGATCTCTGACGTGTCATGTCATTGATCTCTGATGTGTCAAATAGTCGAACTGGTTGGGTTCAATAAAAACAGGTAGTGCTACCACATAACATGATGTAGCGATGCAACGGATGGGGGGGTCGATCAAGGTGTGGGGTGGTTCAGAGGTAAGCTTGGTAGGGTGGGGGAGGTGAAGAGCAAGGAGTGGGAGGGGGGTGACGGGGTGGGGTGACTAATAAGGGTAGAGTTTTAAACGCTAATGTGAGTGAGAGAGACACTAAAATGAGAAAATAAGAGAGGGGTGGAAAGAGAGAGGCTAGCGTGGGTAGAGTGAGAGAGGCTAGCGTGGGTAGAGTGAGAGAGGCTAGCTTGGGTAGAGTGAGAGAGGCTAGCGTGGGTACAGTGAGAGAGGCTAGCGTGGGTAGAGTGAGAGAGGCTAGCGTGGGTAGAAAGAGAGAGAGACGCTAGCTGTATAGTATGAGGGAGTTGCAAGTGAATGTATCCCACCTCAATACGACTAGTCTTTAAAATAATATTTCAGTCAAGTTTTATTTTGGAGTAACAACCCCACCTCCCACAACCAAGAGACTATACACTAAACTTGTACACAACAAAGATACCATTCATATCCTACACACAGTTCGATGAATGGACGTCTCAGCTCTAATCAATGTTCAGCTCTTGGTGTGTTGTGTGTCGTCACGGTGTAACTCCCGGCCACCTGATCCTAACAACTCAGAAATGGAATGAATGGCAGAACTCTGACACGGTATCTGAGCTGGTAGAATATCTGGACACACTTCAACACAAGAATTTGTTTCACAGGTGTTGAAAGGGTTTGGTGGAGTTATCTCCCATGTAGCGTAAGGATTAAGCCTTTAGTGTCAGAGTTCTTGTGTAAAGTTAACATAGAGTTGTTGGTGCTGTGTTGTAATGTAAGCTGATGTGGTACACTGTAATGTATGCTGATGTGGTACACTGTAATGTAATGTGGTACACTGTAATGTATGCTGATGTGGTACACTGTAATGTAATGTGGTACACTGTAATGTAAGCTGATGTGGTACACTGTAATGTAATGTGGTACACTGTAATGTAAGCTGATGTGGTACACTGTAATGTAAGCTGATGTGGTACACTGTAATGTAAGCTGATGTGGTACACTGTTATGTAAGCTGATATTGTACACTGTAATGTATGCTGATGAGGTACACTGTAATGTAAGCTGATGTGGTATACTGTAATGTAAGCTGATGTGGTACACTAAGCTGATGTGGTACACTGTAATGTAAGCTGATGTGGTATACTGTAATGTAAGCTGATGTGGTACACTGTAATGTAAGCTGATGTGGTACACTGTAATGTAAGCTGATGTGGTATACTGTAATGTAAGCTGATGTCAGATTGTCACTCATCTTTAAAAAATATCACATGAAAACTTAGCAACAATGTTACTATCTTTTTAAACACGCACTAAAGCATATCATATTGGCGTTATAATTATACAAATAAATAAATTTAATTAAAAGCATTCTTTTTTTAAATTACTAAATGAATAAACCGGGAGTGATCTCCCCTAAACCTTCTCGAATATTCTTATATAAAACAACAGGGGATGGCAACTCGGGATACAGACATGATTTTTAATCCATTTTAAATACTTAAACTTTTTAAAATAGAATAAAATCTCTTAGAAAAAAGAATTACACAACAAGTGAACGCCAAATTAAATGTGCATAATAGTGCGCAATATTATTAGTACTTTATAAATTTACATTAGTTTTTTGAGAAATCGAAAATTACTACTTCCGGTCTACAGAAATTACTCAAAATTTGGTACATAGTAGAGAATTAGATCTTTTTCTATCTGAAATAGTACTCAAGTTATAGGCTTTTGAAAAATTCAAAGTAGAAAAAGTACCACTTCCGGTTATCGGAAATCGCTCTAAAGTTGATACTGATCTACGATTTTTATATAATACTTTTATATGAAATTTCATTAACCTAGCTTTAACGGTACTCAAGTTATCGTGTTTACAGACACACACAAACACACACACACATACACACACACAGACATACGGACGTTAAAAAAACTAATTATAATTAAAACAAACCTATTATTTCATGTATTTAAATTATAATAGTGCCGTAAATCATTTAAATCCATGATGTATACCTTCGCTCTGAAAATTAGTTTCAACAATGTTAAAAGGTACGCTACTCGTGTAACTATTACTCAAGTTGTAAATTTCGTGATTATTTCCCTTACATTAAATAATCAAACTACAAAAGACATGAAATGTAAGGGAAGCAACTCGAAAATTGTATTTTTGTTTATTTTTCTGTTGAGTTATAGTGAGTTATTTACCTTAGTATATATTTTTTTTAAATTTCCTAAAGTAGTTTTGTTATAATTATAAAATAATGAGAGAAAAAACTTTCATGTAAATACTGAAATATATACGATAGTGCTTATTTGGCTAGTGTTAATTTTGCCTAAAAATATAATTATGATAAGTTATCAAAACGAAGATTAAGAATCGTGTGTTGTATACATGTAGTTTTACCATTTTTGCCATAACATCACCCTTTTTGTTTATACATTCGCCTAGCCCTAAACCACTAGAGAAAAAGCGCATTGTGTGTTTTCTCTTCTGTAAGCTCTACTATAACCTATCATTATACATTACTATAAATAGATATGGTATTTTGGACCTAAACACTAGGTGTGCTGACATATGGACCTACAGACCAGATGTCCTGATATATGGACCTATACACCAGATTTGTTGACATAAGAACCCACACACCAGATATGTTGACATGAGGACCTATACACCAGATATGTTGACATAAGAACCCACACACCAGATATGTTGACATATGGACCTATACAGCACATATGTTGACATGAGGATCCATACACCACATATGTGGACATATAAACCTATACACCAGATATGTTGACATATGGACCTATACACCAGATATGTTGACATATGGACCTATACACCAAATATGTTGACATATGGACCTATACACCAGATATGTTGACATATGGACCTATACACCAGATATGTTGACATATGGACCTATACACCAAATATGTTGACATATGGACCTATACACCAAATATGTTGACATATGGACCTATACACCAGATATGTTGACATATGGACCTATACACCAGATATGTTGACATATAAACCTACACACCAGATATGTTGACATATGGACCTATACACCAGATATGTTGACATGAGGACCTATACACCAGATATGTTGACATATGGACCTATACACCAGGTATGGTGACATATGGACCTATACACCAGATATGGTGACATATGGACCTATATACCAGATATGTTGACATATGGACCTACACACCAGATATGTTGACATATGGACCTATACACCAGATATGGTGACATATGGACCTATACACCAGATATGTTGACATATGGACCTATGCACCAGATATGTTAACATATAAACCTACACACCAGATATGTTGACATATGGACCTATACACCAGATATGTTGACATATGGACCTATACACCAGATATGTTGACATATGGACCTATATACCAGATATGTTGACATGAGGACCTATACACCAGATATGTTGACATATGGATCTATACACCAGGTATGGTGACATATGGACCTATACACCAGATATGGTGACATATGGACCTATACACCAGATATGTTGACATATGGACCTACACACCAGATATGTTGACATATGGACCTATACACCAGATATGGTGACATATGGACCTATACACCAGATATGTTGACATATGGACCTATACACCAGATATGTTAACATATAAACCTACACACCAGATATGTTGACATATGGACCTATACACCAGATATGTTGACATATAAACCTACACACCAAATATTATATCACTTGCTATGCTGACATGTAGAGGTTCAGTTGTGTGGGAGTTCACATACAGATCTTGTACAGACCTACATGTCAACTAGCTACCAGACCTACATCTGACCTACTCCGGTGCCAACTCAAACAATGTGCTCCATGTCGTCTGCTGAATCTACCTGGCTTATTTGTAATGGCTGCTCTACATTGGCGTAGACTAGTGGGGGTGAGGGTGGCGAAATTAATACTATAAGATGGTTTTACATGTATGCAGGTGTATCATGTATTACTAAATCTGGAGGATATTGGGTTATCATAGAAGAATCTGTACAGCTATTGGGTTTAATGTTTAAAATAAAAATCAAAATTAAAAATCTATATTATGTTATGTTTTTATATTCATTAAATAATCTTCACCCATAGCCTTTTGTTTTCTTAATGTTCCACAGGGCGGGAACATTGCCAGGACGATACACTTCCGGTGGTCTCCATTGGCTGGTCTTTAAA